TCAGCCTGAGAAACAAACGTTCAAACGTCAAATAATAGACCGTACCTCTTCGGGTTGTACGATTCCTCCCATGAGCTTCAGCCCTTTCAAATGCTTCCCAGGGCCCAAGCGCATAGCATTGATATTCATCTCTGCCATGGCGTCGACAACGCTCTGAGAAATCCGTTTCCCATCCAACTCCCGAGCTTGGGCGTCAGGGAACACAATCTCATCGACAAACTTCCGCATGGCCTGTTGGAGATTTCGATGGCTCTAGTGCAGAAGACATGTCAGACGAGTTTATTTTTCGTTTGGCATTTCTGCGTACCTCTTTGTAGTAGGGACTTTTGAATCCGGCCGTGAGCCAGGACGGCTCAGCATAGGGGATCTTGCTAGGTGCACCGGCTGCCCGTGGCTTTATGATAGAGCTTTCGCCATCAATGGTCCCAATCTGTAGACGAGCGTATCCTGGCTTCTGGAGGATCTCATGTCGGTGAAGCTGGTAGAAAACCTCCGTGGCATCTTGACCTGCCACTTCTTCGTCGAGCAAAACAGCGAGACCACCGGGATGCAACGATGAAAAGCGCGATAGATCGTAGACTTTCGCATCGATTATAACCCACTGGAGTGCGTGCAGGTAAGGATAATGTGAATAAGCGTTGAGAGCCTTAACTTACCAGGTCTCCAGGTCGATTGTGCTTCGCCCACCAGAGTTCAGTCAAAGTTATTACAAATCGCTGTATCCTGGGCTGACCTTTGCTACCTCGTCTCTGGTAATAGTTCTCAGCTGTTTCGTTGCAGACATTCTTGCTAGGGGGAGAGGAGTACGGAGGGAGAAGGGAGACAGCGGTTTGGGTTGAAATAACGGCCGGAGCGGGGTAAAAGGTACGCCGCGTCCGGATCACTTTCACGTGCCTCAGGTAACCAATCCGGCAATGAATATTATAGAGACAGGAATACAGCTAACGATTACAAATATGTCCATGCCAGTGCAACTAGAGCCGAGCATCCTTGGGCATCTTGCGCATGGCCTGTCGAACACCGAGATCTCCAAGTACATCCTCAGCTGAAGAGAACAGCTTAGAATGCGACAATTCGACCACAAAGCACAGAGTACGTACCTCCTCCAAGAAGCGAATCGAAAGTAACCGTGGTATGATACTACCAAAGAAGAAGTTGATCAATGGTGACCAAAAAGCAGGACATCCGGACTCACGTGTTCAATGAAACGACCCATCCCTGTCTTGGTGATGCCACGCCCACCAAAGATTTGGACGGCATCACGGGCCGTCTCTTGCGCCGTGGAAGTGCAGTACTTCTTCAAGAAACCGATTTGGCTATCGGGAGTAAGATTAGCAGCAGCGAACAGATAGGTTATACTGACTACCCACCCAGCCAGATGAGCCGATTGTTGCTTGTAGTTCTACGAACAAAGGATAAACTTGGGCAAGATTCCCCACGTCACTTCTACGCACCATATGATTCATCTGGTATGTGATATGCTCAAGCCAATTCTGTGCAGATTCGACGCGCGATATCATATCGGCCAGCCTGGTTTGAAGGGAATCAAAGACAAGTCAAACACCACCAGATTCAAATCACTCACTTGGACCGGACAACAGCTTGAGACACGAGGGGCTTGCCGAACACTATGCGCTGGTTGACCCATTTGAGGCACTCCTCGACGACCAACCGTTGAGCACGAGCAGAGCAGCAGCACATGACCCAGCCTATCGTGGAAGGTGAATCGATTGATCCACAAGAGTGGCTTCGGAGAGCTTACGTTCGTGGTTGAAGTTGGCGAGCATAACGATCAGTCCTCCGTCGACTGGTCCAAGCGTATTCCCAACCGGCACTTTGACATTGTCGAAGGTCACAAAGGCTGACAACCTGGTTTTAGCGACAGCTAAACGATGCCTTCCAGGAATACTGACCAGTTCCTGCCGCAGGAGAGTATGAGGTCTTAATAGGGGAGGTCTCTACACCCTCGCCCCGCTCCACCAAGATGACGGTAAAGCCTCCCTAGAAGAGCAACATGAGTCGAGAGCTGGGAGGACAGTGTGGAAGCTTGCATCAGTGCGGCACCCAACGGTGAAGTAGTCGGAAAACTACGTGGCGATCTCGGTATTTGTTACCTAGTCACGGTCAAGACAGTCGTTCACTTACGTGTCCATCTAAAATCAATGGCTTTGAGATCAAGTCCACGCAGGATATGCTTGGAAACTCACTAGTAATCCATTTCTTGGTACCGTTGATGATCCAGTGTTTGCCTGAAGGGAGAGGCTGAATACGAACGCTGACTGCTACGCATCTGTTGGCTCACCATCCTCGGTCAGCTTAGCAGTAGTTCTGATTCCGCTGACGTCACTTCCCGCGAAAGCTTCGCTGATGGCCAGAGAAATAAACTACATTCTTGTGTTAAATTGGTTCAGGTGGTGCGATGGAGATGCTCACCTTCTTGCCAGCAAATATGTCCGGAACGATTCTCGCCTTCAGTTCCTCTGAGCCGAAGTTGAGCACAGGGGGGAGACCAATGACCTGACGGAAGTGTCAGCCAAAGTCTCCTGTGGATGTGCCAGCGGAACGCACCATGCCAGAGAGGAGACCGTCACCGTAACCTCTGACACCAATGCGGGACAGCTCCTGGTTAATGATCATCTCATGGAAATAGTCGTACTGAAGAGATATCCTAGGGTGAGTAAAGTTAATCCAGGTTCAGAGCAAAAACTTGCCTCCTCGGGTTGAACAGCTCCGTCAAAGAGCACCCTGCCTTTCAAGTGTTTCCCGGGTCCAAGACGCATGGCCAGAACGTTCTTTTCGGCCAACGCATCGACGACGCTCTGGGAGACCCTCTTGCCATCGGCCTCGCGAGCCTGGCCGTCGGGATCTAAACGCATTGATGCATCAGGTGGGACACTGGCTCGGACGTCGTTACAGATACTTACAAACTACCTCATCCACGAATTTGCGGAGAGCGGTGACTAGTCTCTTGTGGCTCTGAACGAAGGCCACGCATCAGACGAGTAGCGGGCGAACCAAGGTCATGAGTACTCACCTCCTTAAAGTACGGGGAGTGGAAACCCGGAGTCAGCCACGTAGGCTCTGCATAGGGAATCTTGGAAATGGAACCCGGTTGAGGTGCTTTAATGATTGACTTTTCGCCTTCGAGGACACCGATCTGAAGCTTGGCGTAACCGGGCTTTTGCAACACTTCCTGCCGATGGAGGGAAAAGAAGACTTGCGTCGCATCCTTACCAGCTATTGAGGCTTTAGAGATGGGTTGCTGCCACAAAGAGGCATTTACATACCGACTTCCTCATCCAAGAGGACGGACAAACCACCAGGGTGGTGACGGGAAAACTTGGAAATGTCATAGACTTTGGCGTCGATGACAATCCACTGGAAGATACAATGGTTAACTCAGGTTTATATAGAGCGATATGAAAAAAGGCTCACCAGATCGCCCTGCTTGTTATGCTGATGGTGGGAGAAGCAAACACGTCGTCAACACCCAGAATGAGAACAGTACTACGATGATAAGCTACCTTTGCAACTTCCTCTCGAGTGAAGGTCTTTGTGGAAGCCATTGGGAGGATTGAAGGAGGGAGGGAAAGGATGAGGTGGAATGCGACAGGGGAAACGGAACCGGTGGAACTCGCTCTTATGTTGTACCCGGACTGTCACGTGAAACCCGCCTACGGTAACACACGAACGCGGATTGGAGCACACGGATCCTCCGCGGCTCTGGTCTGAATGTATCAATTCTACACGTTTTGCGCGTGCTACCCTAATCGTCCTAAAAATCCCCACAGCGACTTCGACGAAGAACCCGCCCGGCATTCAAAGAACGGAAACCCCTGAATACCTGGCTTCACTCCCAGTCGACGTTGCTCGACTTCCCACTGTTCGTCGTCCATATATTGGTCTATAGCCCGCCCCTCCAAACTACTATCAGGTCGTACTTTTGTATCTTCCTTGTTATGGTCTTGCTCCCCTTCGGCCAAAGAGACGTAAGTGCGCGCGACGGTATCATCAACTTCCTTAGTGACGGACTGGAACCTCCTCGTAGCCTTTTCTTTCTCCCGCCGTTCCTGGACATTGCTTGGAGGAGGGGACGGCGCTCTTCGTGAAGTTGGAGGGAATGTTAGCGTGGTCCGAGTGTGAAGTAGATGCGGTGTGACGGATAGTGTGGATGGCGGTAAGTTGTTGAGTTTGCATAGCAATCGTCCCTGTCATTCTGGTTAATTATGGACAACGGCAGAAAAAGACTTGGACACACATCTATGCCGTGTTTCAAGGCGATGCCAATCAGCGTATCCCCAGGTTTGATCCAGTATTCCAAAGGCCCAGAGTGAGAAATCGATGGCACCTCGGGCTCTTTACCACCGGAAACAGCCTCTCGGCTCGAATATGGTGGCGGAAGGTCAGTTCCTGTCCTTGATTCCACCGTTGAATAGTTAATGTCGGGCTGAAGTGGTGATGCCGGAGCCGCGTCATGACGTTGCCCGGCTTCCGATCTTTGACCGCCCCCTTCGTCTTCGTCGTCGGAATCACCAACCACAAAGACATCGTCTGCTTCGACGTTTCCAACCTTCAGTGTTTTTCGATTACTTTCATGCGCAGAAGCAACCACTCCGACCCCTCCAAGGCAGGACAAGCAAGGGTTATACGATTTCAGCCTCGGGTTGGCAGAAGTACACCTTTGGCAGATCAACCGTGTGCAGCATTGAGTTTTGTATGCTTCACGAGCCGAAGCAGGGGTTATGGAGCCTAAGCATCCAAGGCATAGGGGAAAAGTAGACATGGTCGCTGATATCTTGTGGCGCGGAGGTGGAGGCACTGCGGGACAAACTGGTGTACACTCCAACAAGGTATCATCCTTGTTCTTGCGAGTTCGTCTCAACCTCGAAAAGGTCCATAATATATGTAGTGCCCTTGTCTAGACGAACGGGACTATCTGCATGACAACATACACGTGAGTTGCTGATGGTGAACTTCAGGTTAGGACAATCGAACACCGTGACTCGATGGTGTAGTTGGTTATCACTTCTGTCTAACAAGCAAACTTGTTCCACAGGCGGTCGTCAGTTCGAGTCTGGCTCGAGTCAATCTTTTGCATCCTTTTTAACGGTTACGACGGTGACTTCCGACCCGGCAAAGGTCTCATTGTATTAGTATCTGACTTCCGCTTGCTCCTTTTCTTCGTCTATACTGCACTTCCTATTCATCTATCCACCGAATGCGCCTTCCCAAAGGCCCAAGCGCTTCCTCTTCCTGAGTGGGGCCGTCCGTCACGTGCCCGGGCAACACGAGGTCCCACGTTCTACTCAGGACTGCCTGGAAAAATTACCTGGAAGTCCTCGAGCGGCACACCTTCCCATATGATTAACGATGCCTCCAAAGTCTCAGACTACCCAACTACCCAAGACTCTTCGAGATGAGCTTGGTCTCAAAGCAAGTAAGCGTCCGTTTCCATCTTGAAACCTCCAGTTCCCTGATCGATCCGACTCGTAGGTGTTCATCGGCCTTTCAACCCATCTAATCGGCCTCGTCGGCTATCGAAGAAAGAGGCACGAAAGCTAGCCCGACATCCGCATAAGGCAGCCAAAGCGAGCGTCAACCAGCCTTCACAGTTTCAACCAAAGAGTCGCAAGCGTCCTGCCGCCGAACCGGAGAACGACCAACCCATCGCCAAGAAAGCGAGATTAGGTCCAACGCGAGATGGCAAGTCGGTCAAGCGTGAACGCAGAGTGTCATTTGCGGATGAAGTGCAGCAATTACCTGCTAAGAGCAAGAAGACGCCTTCGAAGACGGAATCGACTGTCAAGCCTCCCACAGCCCTTCAGCGTCTTTCAGAGAGATTGGGTCACGCCAAACCATCTCTGACTGAGAACATACGACTAAGCAAGGAAGAACGAGATGAGGATAAGGAGATTGCTTGGCTTGAGGCGAAAGTTGGCAAGCGGCGGTCGGCTTCTGATGAGGATGGTTTAGACGGTGAGTCCTTTGTATCTATCCCTTTACCATTTTTGACCAAAGATGGCTCCGCTGGTGTTTTAGACCTCCTTGACGACCTTGATCGGATCGTTGGCGACGCAAGGAGCGCTAGAGCACGACCTGAACGAAACGTGCGTACGTCCCCTACAAACCTTTCTCCCTCTCCCATAGTTGATCATGTTCAATAGACTTCTAGTGAGCAAAGCGACGACGACGAGCTTACAAGCGAGGATGGCGATGATGGCCCACGCGAGTCTTCCATTGAAGACGGAAGTGACGATGAGAGCTTCGCCGGGTTCAGTGACGATCCACCAGATGGTGACAGCGAAGAAGCCGAATCGCCTGTTTCCTTACTACTCGAGCCCACGGAGCCTGCGGGTGAGATGTGCTCGCACACCATGAATGACAAGATGTGGTTAACCAAACTCCTCAGACCGTTATGTGCCCCCGGCCCTCCGAGGGAGGACAGCCGATACTAACCCTTCCTCTGTGAAAGAGGTGGTAAAATCTGAAGCTCAACTCAAGCTTTCTCGGCAGCTGAAAGGTCTTTTGAACAAGTGAGCAACCTTGACCTCTCTCACTGCTATCGCGTTGCTAATTTATCCCTCCGTTTCAGGTTATCGGATCAGAACATAGGACTCATCCTCGGCGACATCGAAAACTTGTATCGTGAAAACATTCGAAATGGTCGGTCGATTGGATTCTTCTCTTGAATATTTTCAATGAGGTTAACATGGCCGTATCAGATGTGACGGCCTGTATCACCGACCTCATTATCACGAGTATATCCAACCACTCGTCGTTGCTTGACAGTTTTGTCATCCTACACGGTGCGCTTGTTGCATCCTTGCACCGCGTCATTGGCGTCGAGTTCGGTGAGTAATCTAGTCCCATGCATTCCCCGATCCCGACTTAGCCTCTCGGACACCTAGCGGCATATTTCGTTCAAACCCTTGTCGATACCTACGAGAGGTTTTACGCAGCAGCGACTGCCGACTCTTCTATTGGGGATGAAACCGAGGAACCAGGGACAGAACCGTCAACTGATGCTGCAGCTGGGAAAGAAGCATCCAATCTCCTCGTACTCCTCGCAGAGCTGTACACATTCCAGGTCGTTTCGTGTGTCCTGATATACGACATCATTCGCTCGTTCCTATCCAGCAAGTTTGAGGAATTCCATGTCGAATTGTTCCTCAAGCTCCTGAAAAGTAGGTGGTTGCACGGCTGTTACTATCTACACGTTTCTCATGCAACTATCTTTAGGCATAGGTCCTCAACTAAGGCAAGATGACCCTACGGCACTGAAAGATATTGTTCAACTCGTTCAAGCGAAGACAGCCGATCAGGATTACTCTACTCTCAACTCACGCACGCGCTTCATGATCGAGACGCTTACCAATCTGAAAAACAACAAAACCATGGACAAACGACGGGTGGGCCAACAGAACATACACGTTGCGGCGGACACAGTCGATAAAATGAAAAAGTTCATCAAATCATTGTCCAAGGGTCGAACTGGTGGGTCCCTCCGGGCATTCTTGATGTAGCTACTCAACTGAGAAGCGGTCTACAGTACGCGCAAACGAGCCATTGAATGTATCACTGAAAGATCTGCATTCTGCCAAGGATAGGGGAAAGTGGTGGCTCGTTGGCTCTGCTTGGAGTGGGGACCCGCTTGTGGAAGCTGCTGCAGAACGCGACGTGGAGCAACAAGGCACCACAACAGACGGAGCCATCTTAGCTTCCGATCATTCTGCAGCGTTGTACAAGCTTGCCAAGAAACAAGGCATGAACACGGAAGTTCGACGGAGCATTTTTGTTACCCTCTTGAGCAGCGAGGTCAGGGCATCTCGATACGACGGTCCAGAGTCACTCATTTCGCTTGATCCTCCCTCAGGATTTCATTGACGCCTGCGACAGACTTGTGCAACTGAAATTAGGAGACCAACAACGACCCGAAATCATCCGCGTACTTCTGCACTGCTTGGGAAATGTGAGTGAGGAATACTTTTCGGGACTTGAGCACGTATTTGCCACACTCCCCGCTGTGTCTTCCACCGCCGACTAACCGCATTGCGCCTTATACGCAGGAACAAAGCTACAACCCATACTACACGCTGGTAGCACAGCGTTTGGCTGATACGGGCTTGCGACGGAACGTATGGTTGTCCCTCCAGTATTGTCTTTGGGACCTCTTCCGAGAGTTCGGGGAGGTCGTGAGCAGTAGAGCTGATGAAGACGACGACCGTCGGAGCAGCGAAGAGAAGTCCGTATCCAAGGTCAGGATACGCAATTTGGCGAGGGCATATGCGTGGTGGGTGGCAAAGGGGGTAATGACCCTCGAGATTCTCAAGGTGTGTTTTCTCGTATTTCCGTACGTCTCTCCTGACGATACCCAAACAAAATGCTTTTACAGGCACTGAGATTCACCGTCCTCAAACCCCAAACGACGAGCTTCCTGAAAACGTTCTTCGCCCAGCTTTTCGTCAGCTCACAATCGGCATCTCCCATCCTGGATTACGCGACTCAGTCGAACAAGGAGATCGCTACGCTCTCCCGCGATCGTGAAATCGTCGAGGTCATTTTCGTCAAGCCTATCAAGCAAAAAGTCGTCATGCAAGGCATCCTTCATTTCCTCAACACTGAGCGAGTGGAAGGTCTAGCACCATCCGAAAGTATTCAGGATTTGATCAGATGGGGTGTCAAGATAGCCTCTGAGACTCTGAGAGCTGGTCGAGACATGGACGATCTGATTGACTAGGCCCTTCCCCCATTACGCACGACCATATCTCCGGGCCTGTGTCATGGTAAGTCTATTTGGGATCTGGCTTTCAACAAAAATACGAGCTAATTGTGCTGTGATATCTATATTTTCTTAAATGCAACAGACGAACAGGAGTTTCCCGTCTTTCCACCAAAAGTGAAAGTTCTATGTTGGATCCGTGAGCTATCAAGACGTCATCAGCGACTCCAGTCGGTGTCAACGTGCAAGGCAAGGCATACTGGTATTCTAGGCCCGCCCCGCCGCTTTCAAAATGTTGTCGCAATTCATCTTCTGTAAAATTACATGCTAGGGTGGAATGGTCAATTAGTCTGATGAAAGATTCAAAAAATGGATAGTACTTTACATGTTATGAGAAAGTAACCTCCTGGCTTCAGCAAGCGGCTGACCCGTCCAGGGTAAGCGTCTAAAGGGGGTGTCCCGGCATCTCCTGGGGGTGCCAGTGCGATGGCATCGAAGGTTCCCTTATCCAACCTAAGAAATATCGTCAGCAAGGGACCAACGAAGGGGATATCCTCGACGTACAATAAGTCCCACATTCCAATTCCTTCGCTATTCACCTCCATACCCTCTATAACAGGCAGATCCTCCGCTAAGAAGTCACTAGCTTCGAACCGCACTCCTTCAACAGAACGGTGTGCTGCAACAGCTCGCGCGAGGCGTACAGAATCGGCGGAGTAGTCAATACCCAAAATATGGGATGGATCGTAGCCGCCATCGGATACGAGTGCTAGGCTGAGAGTACCGTTCCCTGAACCGATATCGAGTATATATGGCTTGGAGTCGGCAGGGACGGTTTTAGTGGCCCAATCCACCTGTTATATTGTTGCAAGATCCCTAGTCATCTTCGGGATTGCGCGATCGAGGACGAGAGGAACCGCACCATTTTTTCGACTGACTCCAAGCCGAACCTATAAATATGTTTTTCGGTCCTCCACACTCGGTGATAATGGATGGAAGTGACATACCATACTTCCCCTTCATCATCGGAATCGTCCTCAAAGTTAGCCAGTTCCCTACTATAAACATCATCCCAACTGCTCAGGTCCATCAGACATACACATAGCCGTGCAAGATCGCCCCTTTCTCACAAAACAAGACTCACTGCTGTTTCGTCCCCAACTTCGAAGGCTCAAAGTCAGTCCCACTCATGTCTTGATGGCTTCCAAATCAATGAATCGATTGATTATGTAAACGAAAGTAGGAACGGAAAATGCAGCTAGCAATGTGCAAAGTAACCAATATGACAGTGCGGGGTATAGATCATCAACGTAATTGTCGTTCCAACTGGGAAGCATGGTCGTATACATATAGTTTGGCGTCGCAGTC